TGATTGCTGCTAGAAATTTGAGCAAAAGTGTTGAAGAAACTTGTCATGTAGTAAAACAGTTTATAATAAAGATTGAAATATAACTTAACTGTGGCTAGAACTATGGCCACCAAGAGACACTGAAACCAGATTTTAGCAAAAATTTACAAAAAGCATAAAAGTAAACTTAAAATCTAGAAGTTTACTTTATGTCTGGATAACAAAACATTTCTGTTCAACTATAAGAGTGATGGCCAGAAACATTACTCTTTGCAAAAAAAAAAAATAGTACGAGCAATGATGGGGTTGCTGAGGGATGCTTTCATTGTTACAACATCAGTCTAGGCATGACCTAAACTAGGGAGACAATTTTACCCTGTCTGAAGGAACCAAAAGGCAATTCAAGAGACTAGATATTTTATTAATAGACAAAGAACTTCCAAATTTTTCAACAAAAAGCCCCAAAAAATCTACAGTTGCTCTTCTTGAGTGGGTGCAAAATGCCGTTGTCTTGACTGAAGCATTGTTACAGTCAATTCACAAAATGCGACATTTTTGTACAACTACCATAAATGATTTTTTTTCTTACACTTTTTTCCTGAACTGTCGAGTTTACAAACGACATAAGTAATTTATCTTCAATTCTGGAAAACGGAAAATTAAAGCTTTGTAATAGGCGACCCGTCCCACGGACAGCACCGTCCCCACGCTACACTAAGAATAACATCAGAGGTATACCATGATATCTACGGTAATGAAGGAAAGAAACTGGGTTATTTATGGATACATCACTACAGAATATACGACACCACGTATCCTTTCACATTAAAGACGTCAGCATGTCACATTCTGACACTGTTGGTGTGTGTGTAGCCTAAGGCAACCACGTGGTACTGGATCCCTGCTCTTCGAGATATTTAATTTTAAATACTTTTCAGATTACAAATATTAATTAAATTTGGACTAAAATAGTAGTTTGAGATTAAATGTTTTCATTATTCGGGCTATTGTATTCTATTCATCTGTTTTAAAACATTTTTACGGTTTCAACAGATACATTCTTCAGCCTTCAGTGAATCTAGTTGTGTGTCCGTATTCAATAGCAATCCTCCACAACAAGTGGGGAAAACGATTCTAAGTCAGACCATACATTCCTAAATAAAAACAAAAAATATTCTGGATCACAGCCAGACATAAAAATATTTTATTAAAACTAAAAGAAAAGAACACGTGCCGAGAATTTTTTTTTCATAAATATTTCTGGATGTAGGTTGGTGAGCTGAAATATTGAAACAATGTGCACAATTCATTATCAGGTTATGTAATAAATATCCACTACCCATTTACACGGGTAAAGGGGGAGTGCAGTTTCAAAGTTACAGTACACACACGAATATTTTCAACAAGAACTTTTTGAGTTTGACTGATCCCCGAAATATTTTCATGTTACGGAAGCCAAACTGGAAGAACAATTTACTTGTTTTCAATCCTTAATTAACTCCCCCCACCCCCCAAAAAAACCTTGCCTATTTATTCATCATGTAGTTTGAATGAATAGAGCAACATTACCCTCTTCAAACATTTTTAATGTTGCTAGACCAAAGTTTGAGTTTAACGTTTAAATGCTAACATGTTTATCTGGGTAGTGGTGAAAAGTTATCGGCCCGACCATTAGCAGCCCTTCTCCCCCACTTCAAATATGAGTTAAAAAAAAATGTAGATAAGCTTAAGTGAAACTTCAATTTGTTATCACTTTTTTCTATTCTGATAAATTAAAAAGTATCTCAAAAAAAAAAAAAAAAAAATCCCCTGTGGAGTAGAAGAAAAAGTCACATGCTTTAAAAGTTCAACTTGTATTTATTTTTTTAGCTCTCTCTCTCTCGAAAAAAAAAAAGTTTCACAAAACGAAAATTTTTTTAAAAAAAATGAAGTGTTAATTAAAAAATTAAAACCGAACATTTCCTGATATTGTTATGATTGTCCTATAAACCCGGAATCCAGACTAATCCAAACAGTTAAAAAAATAAAAAGATCAATTTTATTTATGTCAAGTTTAAATCGAAACTGACATTTTGAAAGCCACACCTTACATAAAAATTATTTTTTAAGTGCTATTTCCTGCAGTTTCCGGTAAAATAAAGCAGATCCGTTTTTCTTTTTAACATTAAAACGGTAACCTATTTGTTTTAGACGTTCAAGCATAAGTTTTTTTTTTTTTTTTTTTTTACTTGATCCTCCTAACATTACGAACTTAAAATACATTTAGGATTTTTTGACGAAAAAAGACCCAGAGTAGAGAGAAGAGAGAGAGAGAGAGACCTATAAAACAAATAATGACGGCTTTTCTGGGTAAGGGCGAAAAATGAGCCCGGATGATTCGTTTAACAACCTGACGTGGGGAATAAAAAAGAAATGGGATTTTTTTTTCTGTAGGCAAAGCAAAGAAAAAGCAATCAACAAGTCCGTGTATTATCCAGGTGGAAAAGAACTTCATGTATATTGTCGTAGAATTTGAAAAGACAAGAAAAATTAAAAATGTATGGAAGTGTGGTGATTTTTAAACTTGTAAACTAAAGAGAAAAAATATTTCATAAAAACAAAAATTGATGTAACACATGAGCGACCACACACATACGTACGTTTTTTTTTTAGGATACCTTATTCTTGTTGAAAGAATTTTTTCTTGGCTAGGGGAAAATGCGTGATAAGATGCAAGAAACATTCATTATTTCATTAATAGCAATTTATTTATATAATTAACTGGGAGCCCGCCAATGAATACAATCTGTCACTTAGCTTTCATTAAGGAAATAGGTTGAACAGAAAAAAAAAAGCTATTTAAAAAAATAATTGTATATAACGACTTGCATAAAACAGTTTATTAGGTTGATAATTCAACCAGAGAAAAGTAAAACACAAGGCAGCAGCTGTATTATAGAAAATGAGGAAAGTCATTTTTTTCTTTTTTAAAAAGGCAATTAGTTTTTCGATTCGTTAAGAAAAATTGAAGTTAAATTTTAAAGCCATTAATTAATTCCATTAATAGACTACATATGTCTATTTTTATAATAGTCCCTTCTGAATTATCTTGATAAGTTATTTCAACTTATATCAAGATAGAGAACTAGAAAGGATTATTATAAAAATAGTCATAAATGATTTAAATGAAACATGCTTGAATGAAGATAGGCTGCCTAAAAGCCTTCTTTTAAGCTATTCAAATTAATTATGCATATAGAAAATATTTTACAGACAAAATTTAAATAGGCTGATTAACTAAATAAAAATATTAGCGTATTTTTTATTTTAAAATAAAATAAAACTGAATTCTGAAGATGATTAAGAATAAAAAAAAATAAATATTGGCGTCAAAGTTGACTAACATCAAAAAACGGAAATGAGGGTTTTCTAAGGAGTTTGACAAGATCTTTGAGGCAATTTTATATGTAGTTTTTATACGAAAGAGAAACTATTTTTGTAATTCTGAACACGATGCCAACAAAAAGCAATTTTTCTTCTTCAGTTGCTGTTTCATCGTTTCTATGGCGACGGTAGAAACAGATTTAGTCTAGACAAACATTTTTCAAGTATTGTTGAACTTTTAAAAACAAGACCTACTTTTTAGTTATTTAGTAAATAAATGCTTTTAAATTTAATAATTTTATTTTAGTAGCCAATTCATAAAGTGCCCACTTATTTTACTAACGACAAATAAAAATTCCTTATGAAGGATTATTTATGAATGTAAAATTATGCTTGTTATAAGAGAAAAATTAACTTTTCTTTTTTAAATAAAAAGGAAAAAATGTCCTATGCATTTTTACAGGATAGTTTTTATTTATGAAAAAATTAAAGTTATTTAATGCACATAATTTCACTAACTTAAAAAATTTAAATACTTTCAGTTAAATGAGTAATTTAGATTTCAAAGCGACAGAAGAGAAAAAAAGTTTCAATTTTTTTCCATTTAACTTAAAATTTAAAAGTAAAAAAAAAAATTAGGTCTTTGCATTTTTTTTGCTAGAAATCTAGTTGTGTTTTGGTGATGTCAGTAAAAAGTAAATATTGGTACGGTGTGTAAGCACGACAGGTAAAATAGGTGTAGATAAAAAAAAATGCAGAGAAAGGTAGATATGTAACTAAGAAGAGGCGAAAAAATAAATTGTTAACATTTCACAACAATCAAGTGACAAAAAGCGAAGAAAGGAATTGTCGGACCGACCGAACAACTGGGCATGGCGCGGATTATTGAACTAGTCAAATGTCACGCCCACATTTATAGGTACAAACCCTAATTAAACATACTTACCAAAGACTTGCTAATTAGAATATTAATATACAATCAAAAGTCATTTATGTTATTGAAATGTAAAGTGAATATAAACTATAATAGATGCAATAAGTATACAACCAAACTGGAAACCGAACACAAAAGTGAACACGCCTTTTTTAACATTATCTAGAAGAGCTATGTAAGTTTAAAAATATATCAAAATTAAGAATTAATGGGTGTAGTTCCAGCTTGCAGTTTATGTTTTCAATGCAGATTGCTAAAGCTTGAAGTATTAATAGTTTTTAAGTACAAAAAATAAAAAAAAATATCTAAGCAAAGCAGTAGTTGACGGATATGTTCAATGATGTAACCACTGCTTAAGTACGATTTAGTAGGATTATTTAGGTGCGGGTGTTCAATATTGTAACCGGTGAACATGGGTGTCGTATGTATATCGAGCCACAGGTACGTAAAGAGGCAGGGTGAAAATATGAAGACGGGATTTAATTGTCAAGAAAACAAATTTAATGGAGAAACTAGAAAAGGAAAATATCTATATGAAGTGTCAAAGAAAAAAGACAACATTAAGAGTAAAAATCAAAGCCAAGAAGTGTAATGCATCCACGCCCAAATGTCGCTGCTGCTATATAAAAGTAAAACCATACATTTTTCTTCTCGAGAGAAGCGAATAGGGACATTTAATGCCGGCCAATAAAATAAAAATGACAGTTAAGAATTTATTACTTACAGCAAGTCCATTAGAGGTAGTTGAATGTCCATTCTTTGCAATATTGAAGCCATTGGTCTTGCCGTTTTTATGCTGTGGCTTCTTTATTTGGTCTCCGTCAACCGCCGTTGCCCGTGTGGAGGCCATGGTTGCCCAACTCGTGTTTAGATATTGTTGTTGTTCTTATTGTTCCGTTGTAGATAGAGAAAGACAGAGAAATAGTCGATGTTGTTAGGGAACAAGCACTTCCCTCTGCCAGTAATATGTCACTTCTCTTTTTACCCCCCGGGGGAGCTGCGAGAAAGACAGAAGAGAAAAAAAAGCCAGTGTACAGCGGCTCTTGTATTTCTAAGAAAGCGGGAAGGGGAGAAGAAGAGGATAAATAGAGAGGGGGAAAAAGTTAAGCGCGAGAGAAGAAGAAACTGATAGGCAAAGGTTTGAAAGCGAGGTGGAGAAGGTAGCGGCTTTAAGAGAGGGAAGTATTAAGAGAGAGAGGAGGTTTAATATGCGTTAAAAAAAAGAAAAAGAGAAAGAAAAAGAGAAAAAGTAAGGTTCTGAAAGAGACACATAGAAAGTAACTGAAATGAAAACGATTAATTGAAGAGGGTGTGAAACCGGAAATATGAAATAAAATTAAATAAAAAAAAAACAGGAAAAATAAAAGGAAATAATAAAATTAATTTTAAAACAAAAAATAAAACGTGAAAGGCAGAAGAAAAACATTTATAAAAAAAAGAAACTAAAAAGAAAACGAAAGCTGTGGAAAAAAGGAGACATAATGTATATGAGAAACTTTTTTTTGAGAGGAAGAAAAAGAGAAAAAATAAATTAAGAGAAAGAGGAAAAAAAAAAAAAGAAAAAAAAAGAAGAATACTCAACACAGTCGATGCAAGGATTAAAGTCTGTGGTTCAATGCCCAACGATTGGATATGCAACAAAAAACATCAAAAAGTATGAAGAAAAAAAAGATATAAAATAATTTAAGTAAAACTTTACTATTTATAATTTAGCCAAATTTTCAGTTGACATGAAAATTTAGTTTTTACTAATTTAAACATTGATGATGGTGTAATCATAAAATTGTTAAAAATTTAGCTCATAAAATGAAAAATCCTGCAATTAAGGAGAAAGAAATGCAAAAGAAGCAAATTATAAAAAAAAGATATTAAGAAATATGAAAAAATGTTAAAGAGAGTGAGAAGTGCACTTTAGATGCACAAATATGTTTGTAGAAAATTAGTGGTTTTAATATTAAAAAAAAAATTAATCTTTGCCTGCAGGATGGCTATCCAATCAAAGATATGCACCAGACACAACAACCAGATAAAACATGGCTATTGCAGATTTTACAAATACATAACTTTAGCAGTTGTTATAGAAAAATGGTATAACACCAAGCAGTACTGAGGTATGTAGACATAACATGAAAATCAACATTTAGAATTTGTCCTTCAGCAGGACTCAAATGCAAATTGCTGGTTTGTGAGGTACCTTTGTTATTATATTAGTCACCAAGCATATTGATAAAAGAAAGATAGCCTGGCACAGGGGCAAAATCATGGAGCACTAAATGAAAATCAATTTGATAATCCAAAGATTCTAGGGTTCATTTGATAAGCACAGCAAGATAAATAATAGTTGATTACAAACGAGGATGGATGTAAAAGTTCTGAAAAAAAAAATCAAATGTTTGGGCATTTGGTCACATTTTGGTAGGTGGGTGGGTAAGGTTAAGTACTTTTCAGCAACCTCTTATTCATTATATATATATATATATATATATATATATATATATATATGTGTGTGTGTGTGTGTGTGTAAGTGTGTGTAAACGATGTTGTTTTGGGATGTTGCTTTTGATAATAGCTATAGAACTAGCTAAAAGTGATTGGAATAATAAAAACTATGAAGAATATTTTGTATTATGTAACCCTTGCAAAATGAAAAAAAAAATGTTAGATTGCTGGAAAAACTCAATAAAAGAAAAAAGGGAACATTCTAACCACTTGGCCATGTATATTATATATACATTGCATCAAACACATGGTTTGACCATGACCTTTCTGACCACAAAACTTGGGTTTGAATCTCACTATGGTCAATTTCTCAGGAAGGAGACTTCTTGATGTTATCGATCTGGAGGGGGGGGCAATCCCAGTGTGTGGCACCTTTGGAAAGGTGCCTGAAAACCATACCACAGTTTGACTCAAGATTTGTAAATGAAATTGGGAATCTTTGGAACTGTTGGTGGTTGTACAAGAACAAAGTCAAAAAACATCATGACCAAGGATTTGAGCATGTTGGCCTTTTGTTCAGATTGTGGATCATTCTAGATAACACGCTCTTTCCCAGAAACTGTAACTAAGGTCTGTTCAGCATAGTTGTAGTATAAACTAGAGGTGGGTTCTGTGGGTGTTGAACAAACACAAAATGCACCTGAGCAAGCGTCTGCAATGGGGATTAGCTAGCTGCCCTAGTAGATGGGTATCCTTGGATACGAATGGCCAGCTATTATATATATATATATATATATATATATATATATAAGCAAGTGTAAATGGATAAAATCCGACAGAATGTAGAAATTTTGAAAAACAAACAAAAATCCATAAATGTAGTTAAAATGAAAGAATTGTCGACGTCAGGCGTTTCGGTTTTAATAAACCATTTTCAAGACAAAATTCATTAAAATACAAATTCAGTTCAATATATTGAAAACGATGGACATAAAAACACAAGTCTTATCCAAGAAAAAAAACAGACAACTGTTGTCTGTTTTACTCTTAGATAATCATTTATTAAAAACGAAACGTCTGGCGTCGACAATTCTTTCATTTAACTACATTTATGGATTTTTTGTTTGTTTTCAAAATTTACATATATATATATATATATATATATATATATATATATGTTTTAATATATTTTATTGTTATTAGTTATTTATATAGACACAAATATTTAAGTAAATGCTCTGTTCATAACAAACAGTATTATTATTTATCGGCTTTAACATCTGAGAAATTTTACGACAGGAATTGAACTTGTATCCTACACGAAACCGTCATATAGCCTGATGTACTATACCAGTTTAGCTACAGAGGAGCATCTGGTTAGCAAGGTCGATTTCACTGCTTTTAAACTACAATAAAATACTGTTTATTATAAACAGAGCATTTACTAAAATATTTGTGTCTATATAAATAATGTATAACAATAAAATATATTAAAATAATTGTGAGTCTTTGTCTATTTTGTAGCGTTTATTTACATTTATATACACTTCAAGCAGCTATGAACGGTCAAGGGAAATCATGAAAAATTGTAGTTATCCACTGGGCCATGTGGCCTTGAGGCCATGTGGCCTTGAAGACATGGCCCAGTGGATAAAGACATTGATTAGACCCAGTGACTAAGCCCAAAGTGTTGTGAGTTCAATACCAGGTTACAGCAGTGGTGAAACATACTTGAAGAGTTAAAGGGAAATAACTGAGACATCCGGAAGTGGCATGGCACATGGAACTAGAACAATCTACCTTGGTGGACGAAATAAAGGCTTTCAGTTTGAAATTCCAATCACCTGAAGAATGCTGGAACATAACATGGATATGGCAATGAAGATGAGGATAACAGTCCGAATAATGTAAATAATGTAAGCAATCATAATATCTCACCTCAGAGATATAGACTGATATTATCTTCTGTCTTCTTAATTCTTGTTCTTTTATTGTCCTCTCTCATATTTTGTATCACTCGGCACTCACTTGTGTCCTAGTGGCTTTATTGCCTTGCTTGGGGTGAAATGATTAAAAGAAAAAAAAGAAGTCACCTTCCTGACAGATTGACCATGGAGATATTCAAATTTGCATGCTATGGTTGGAATTTTCCTAACCATTTGACCACATGGCCATATTCTGATGGGAGCATTGCCAAGTGGTTGGAATATAAGCCCATTTGCTTCAAGGCTCAATGTTGTATTCAGTGGTGAAGTAGAACCCTGTTAAAAAATTGTAGAAAAGTTCAATAGATTTAAGTATTATCACTAAAAAATGGGCCACTTTGACATGGTCACATGTTGAGCAGACTTGTCTTGCTGGATCAGTTTGAACTGAGTGGTGAGTTTGATCCTCACTGAGTGGCCTATGCTTGACGTCTTGTGTTACATCAAAGCTACACTTAATAAAAGGGCAGTATTAAAAATAAGAAATAGACATGATATACTTAGACATGGGCAGTGAAATGAGAACAGTCTACCCCTGTAGATTAAATAACGGGTTCAATTTAGAATTCCCTGTAGGTTATGCTGATTACAAAGATCAATATACATCTGTAGAAGGCTGGGGAACACAATGGCTGAAACATCATGATAACAACAACAAAGATGAGGACAATAGTTCACATGTAAATAGTGTAAATAATGATAACTCTTCATCCCAGAAATTAATTCCCTGTAGGTTGCCCAGATCGATATACACCTGGTGAAGGCTGGAAGCACAACGGCCGAAACATCGTGATAACAACAACAAAGATGAGGACAATAGTCCAAATGTAAATAGCGCAAATAATAATCATTTTTAGACATAAAAAATGTGATGTTTTCTATTTTTGTTTTTGGTACAAGAAACGCGGAAAAATTTTGCAGATATTGAGTTGTGACATGGAAATGAGGCCATTGCGAAAAGTTTTCCTGCTTAGAAAAGTGTCATATAGGAAGAAAATGAGTAACTACTGACCTAAGGTTCAAGTGTGACACTTTGGACTTATGAATATATGTTTTCCGCTAGGTGTATAAATAAAGGTGTCAGGCTACTGACTGCAGTGACTATTGAGTGGAACTGTCCAGTTAAATTAGGGTGAATTATTGTGTCAATGATTTGGGTTTTGATTTAGGATTTACTGGATGTTAAGCCAAGCCACAATGCTAACGAGGTATTCACTGAAATGGTTAATTATCTTTGGTTGATTTTTACTTCTTTGTTCTTATTAAGTATTTATTTGTGGTTGTAATTAAATACTGTTTTATCTTAACATTGGAGTCTTGAGTTATACTTAATTATTAACGGCCACCATATGTCACAAAAAAAAAGCAAGGACAAATCGGAAGGTATTGGATGCACCTTGTCAGTGAAAAGAAGAAATAATCAGTTTATTTTCTTAAGTTACAAGAGGTGACCTGAAAATAAATTTCTTGCTAGCAACCAACATCATATACAATGCTGAAGCAAAATAATGAAGATAAAGTTAGTGAAAGAAAAATATAAGGTCAAGAGCGCAGGTGATGCAGTGCAGATAAAAGAACATCTGACAAATGTGAGATTTGTTCAGGAAGACTTTGCTTGCCGCCATTGACAATGATGAAGAATTTCATTGGAGATGCAATGCTGCATCAGCAAAAATTGGAATTGCTTGTTTGTTTATTCTTGGTTTTCTCCCTCTTCATTCTCTCCCTTCTGTCATATTTAATCGATTCTTTTCATGTTTTTTTTATACTTGCTTGCATGCAACCCAACTCTTCCACTTTCCAATAATAGTATGAATAATTCTAGCATAAAAGAAGAATTTAATAAAAAAATTATAAAATTACAAAGGAAAATAAGTTCAAATATCTAAATTTCTTGATAAAGTGCATGGAAAAAAAATGTATATTGTCAACTTAAAAATATGAATCTTTTGGGGTTTGTTATAAAAATGGGTTTGAATAAATATCTTGTTCTTTCCTGACATTCAAATAAAAGAAGAATAAAATCAAATCTAAAATTTTTTATATAAAATTTCCAGTATATTGTTTTGATTTTTTTAATATTTTAAAATATTATGAATTTAATTTTTTTTAACTTGCAAAAATACAAAAATTACTAAATATGTTTAAAGAAAATTTGAAATTTTTGTTTAAGTTTAAAAACAGTTTTAATTTTTGCTAATCTTAATTTATTGGCTATATTGGTTGGTTATCATTGAGAAATATCATCTAATTGACTCTTGGAGTACATAACTTGTGTTTAATCATTACAATGGCTTGACAATTGTTTCCCTATGCCAGACATAGATAAACATTGTAAAAAGTTTTATAAGTATTTCTATGGGAGAATATGATCATTTACACTATTCATATTTGAACCATCGTCCTCATCTTTGTTGTTTTTATCACAACATTTCAACTGTTATGCCCTCCAGGCTTCCTCAGGCATATATCAATCTGTGTAATCTAAATTGAACTCTTCACTTTTCTATGGGGTTAGACTGTTTCCACTGCTCATGTCTAAGGATATCGTCTAATTCTTAGGTTATTTAGTGTTAATTTAGTGTTCAGTTATTGCTTGCCTGTTTCTATTGCCCGACCTAGGGATTGAACCATTGTCATCAAATTCAAAACCCAGTGCTTTAAACCTAACCTTGCTGCTGATCAGGTTGCCACTGCTGCTGGCTGTCATCTCATCGGAAAATATGGTATATAAACTTTATATATCAAACTAAGGGTTGGTAAATGAATAACAAAATGTAAAAGTGAAGTGTTTTGTCCTTCAGACAAAATATTATTTTTATTGATGAGATTATATATATGTGTATGTATGTGTGTATGTGTACATATATATACACCCAAGCTTAGATGGATAAATTGCCGTCTAAATTACACAAAAAATGAAAATAACACTGACATCTTATTTTAACTGAAATTACACAAAAATAACTTGAAATACTAAAGAGTAAATTTATTCAATGAAATCACCATTGTCTTCAACCATGGCCTTCAGATGACTTTGGAATCTCCTGCAACTCTTCTGGACAATCTCCTTGTTTAAGGTGATGAATGCTGCCATTATCCTTACCTTCAGTTCATCTTTGATGTTACAAGGAGTTTTGTTGGTCTCTTACTCAACTGCAACCCAGATGTAATAATCAAGGGGTTGCAATCTGGGGAGTTAGTTGGCCAGATATAAGAGGTGATGTGGTCACAGAAATTGTCTGACAGCCATGACTGGGATCACCTGCTAGTGTGGCATGGTGCAGAGTCCTGATGCCAGATATAGGGTCTTCTAGCAGCCACCCTTGTGACTCAGGGCAGCACTACCATCTTAAGGCACTTGATGTAGGCCTCCATGTTGAGTTTGAGGCCCTTACCAACAAAATCGGGAGATCTTTTCTTATCAGAATGATCAGGATGAGTTTTCCAAGCTGCCATACCTTCATAGTCACCATTAGATTCTTCCAACTCTTACTGAATCCTCTGCACTGTCCCAAGATTGACATCCAAACACCTTGAAATGTTTGTATTGGATCTTCTGGTACAAATGCCAGGCAATACAGCATGCTGTTTCCAAATTACTGGCAAAGTGAATTGTCATGATGTTCTTGCCCAACTGACCCTACTATACTGTGCATTCAATAAAATCAAAAACAAACAATGCACATGTATGAAATTAAAAGTATAAAAAGGCGACAATTTACCTATCGCACCATATATATATATATATATATATATATATATATATATATATATACATATGTGTGTATGAAAAAGAAGAGAGAAACCGCAAACGTTTTGTTTTTGGTTGTAATGTGTATTTTTTTTTTTTTTTAATATTATGTTTTATTCTCCATAATTTTGCAAGCGGAGCGCGCCGCCCTTTGGCTCCACCGCAGAACACAAGACCAATGCATGTAATTCTGTCCTCTCACCATCGTCACTGTCGTCGTCTTTTCCCTCTGGGTGAGCATGCGGTGTTCTGTGGTGGGGCCAAAGGGTGGTATGCTCCGCTTGCAAAATTAGGGAAAATAAAGCATAATATTAAAAAAAAAAATACACATTACAACCAGAAAATGTTTGTGGTTTCTCTCTTCTTTTAATAAAACACTTTTCTCTCGTTGGAACTACTATAACCTCTTATATATATATATATATATATATATATATATATATATATATATATATATATCAATCATTTCACCCCAAGAAAATCAATAAAGCCAAGGGTTAGTTAATGTGAAAGAATATGAGAAAAAACACTATTGAGGGGAGAGAGAACAATAAAAGAACAGGAATTAAGGAGAGAGAAGATAATGATTGACATTGTATTTAAATTTTTGAAGATCAAAATTGACTGGGAAACATGGAACCAAAAGAGGTGTGTATGCATGCATGTGTAATGGAATCCTATATATGATATTATTTATTGATGGAAGAACAATATTTAATCTGGAGAAGTCTTTTTAAAGGTTTGAAACATGTCACATAGACTTTTTTCCATGACTATGTCTATGAGGTATTTAAAAAAAATATTGTTTCAAAATCTGAATTTATAACTACCAGTGTCATGATCCTAAAAATAAGTGGATTATAATAACAATCCAACTATAAAAAACTAACTATAAAGAACATAAGTACCTAAAATAAATGCTTGATGATTTTATTGAAAAGAAAAAGGCTTTTCATTTAATTTTCCAAATAACAAAAATGAAGTAATTTCTGTCTTAATTTGTAGGATGAAGAGTTATCATTATTTACTCTGTTGATATTCAGACTATTGTCCTCATCTTTGTTGTTGTTATTACAGTGTTTCGTCTGTTGTGCCATCTGGTCTTCATCAAGTGTATATAGATCCAGATATTCAACAGGAAATTTCTCAGCTGAACCCATTATTTAATCTAAGAGGTTAGACTGTTCTTGTTCCACTGTCCATGTTCAGGAAGATCTTGTCTCATGCTTATTTTTTAGTAATGCTCAGTTATTGTTCATCTTGTTTCCATTGAGTTCAAGTACTCACTGCCCAACTCAGGGATTGAACTTGTGATTACTATGTTACCAAATTCACAAACCAATGCTTTTAATCTACTAGAATATTGCTGTGTAGGAAACAAGGCAAGAAATAACTGAGCTAAAAATAAGCATGAGACAAGATCTCCCTGGACATGGACAGTGGAATGAGAACAGTCTAATTCCTTAGATTAAATAAAGGGTTCAGTTCAGAATTTTCTGTAGACTACCTGGATCTATATACACCTGATAAAGGAAAGTATAACAAACAAAACATTGTGATAACAACATTAAAGATGAAGACAATAGTCCACATCTATTATAGATTTATATATATATATATATATATATATATATATATATATATATATATATATATATATAGTGTAAGAAAGCACAGTAAAGTAATGGATAGCAGCTCAGATTGAGTAACTGGAGTGCCAAGTGTCAAATTCCAGTCAAGTTCATTACATTCACTTACGGGCTAATACCCTGGAGAAAGGTATGAATCCAATTTTTGTCCCCTCGGCTATGGGTAAATAGTAGGACAGACTGGGTTCTATAGCCTTGTGTAACAACCAATCTAGAAGGAAAACTCTGAATTTAAAACTGTATGTAGTTCTGGCTAAGCACATACTATGCAGCTAAGAAAAGGATCATTCACATTGACTTGATGATTCCGACTACAGTTGACTCCTTATATAATGTAAATAAAAATCAAGTACTTTATATCTAAGAGAAGTAATTATACTAAGAATAAATAGACATTTGTTCCTCACTGTTTGCTGTAACTCCAAGTTTCATACATTGGGAAATCATCAGGCAGTGTGCTGTATTTTGTGTTTCCAAGTGAAGTAATTATATAGATTTTTGTTGTTCCTGCCACTCAAGTTGATATTAAAACAGTCAACATCTCAATTTCCTCTTGAAACTACTTAAAGGAATTGGAAACAGTATTTACCGATTCCTCATACATGAATATTCTGCACATCCGTTAATGCCAGCTTTCTGCTTTTTATATTTTTTTTTTTCAAATTTTATTTTTCCTTTCATCATTTCTTTTCCAAGAATAGTTTTTTTTTTCTAAGTGGAAAATCCTGTCTAAAGTCTATAAAAAAATGTTAAACTCAGTCCTTGTGTTAATAATCAACACACAAAATTTGTTTTTCTTCAAACTTACCATCATCTTTTTAAGATGGAGGCTGAAGATTGACTTCCATAAAAGAAATCATTGAATTTACACATTGACACAAAGTTCACCCAATGAGAAAAAGTTTTCTCATGTCTCTCACATGATACTATATCTATAGAAGTAGCAACAGAGTATGATAGGCTAGGGACATTGTCTATGGGACAGGGTCTGTAGAATGGAAAATAATTTGTCACCCACAAAGTATAGAAAGTGAGGACTGGGCAGTTCCAGCCCAGATACTGTAGCAAGACTTTATTTTTGGTCTAAGTGGATTTTTGCAAAGATAAAGCATGAGTCAAGTGCTTTCTGGATTGATACAAGGAACTGCGGGAAAAAATCTGCCTTGTCAGTCATGTATTGAAAGATACATGATTGCCTAAACATGTATCACGCATGGCACATAACTGGCTGACAAGGAACTCTCGGGTCTTGTGCAGGGTGAACATCATTGTAAAAAATAGAGTCCCAGTAAACATCAAAAACAAGGAGCTTCATTGTGAGTGAAACTGTACATAATGACTATAGAGAATTTGGGGTCTGCTTGGTGATGTGATATACATTTTAATGTACATTTTAAAGAAAGCTGAGTAATTGAGGTCACAGTTTTGATTTGAGGTTTCAGGGCAACATGTCCTTGTAGTTAATTGACAAATTCAACAACAATGAATATTAATGAAAGATAATGGCATTAATGTAGGTAAATGTTCATTCTAAGATACAATTGAGGATTGGACTTGTAACAAGATAAAATTAATAATATTTTATCAATGAATATTCATGAAGTCATTCTACCACCACCACCACCACCACCACCACCACCACCATATTCTACTACTTTTTGACTTTACTTTTTCTTCTTCTTCTTCTTGCTATTTCCTTTGTTTTTTCTGGTGTATGCTTTTTTCTTTCCTGGTCCCAATCAGAGACTCAGGGTCAGAAATGTCATCATGACATTTTCCACTGAGCATTTACAAAAAAAAAAGCTCAGATCACACACATTTTACATAGATAAAGACCTTCATAAGGTGTGGGCTGTACTGGTGAGTACAATTTTTTATATTTCTTTAAGGCATGGCTACCATGAATCCTTTCAATGAGTCTATTGGAATCTTTTCCAATCAGTTCGAGGGTCCAACTACTACTGGAATTGTTGATGTCCTCCTGTTCCACAGTTTTGAGATTTTGATTTTAAGGTCCTTATATCTTGATAGTTTTTTGAAGATCTTCAACGATTCATTACAATCTGTAGGGACTGCCATGTCAATAAGAAGGCATATTCTGTTTTTGTGATCTCTGATCATGATGGCTGGGTGACTAGTTTTGATTGTTCTGTCTGTGTGCATTGTAAAGTCCCATAAAATTGTTACAGGTCTTATCTCCATAACTAGATCTAGGTAGTGTTCATACAAATTTTTTTCAGTTCCCTTTCCCGTAAAAGTTGCAGATTTTCCAATGCAGATATTGACCAACTTTGTTGTTGTTAGTGGTGTTGTTATGATGATGATGATTTGCCTTTGCGTTGTGTAGTATAAGTTGCACCCTTATTATTACCGTTTGATTTGGAAGCAATCCTGGAAACATTGAATATCACTTCAAATGACTTTCTCCCCATATTGGATCTTTTCCCTAAATCTGTATTTAAAAAACAAATCTGTGACTATTGGATTAATGTAAATCCTATAACAAAATACCATAATCATAGTGCAGCACTTGAGCCATTTTGATTTTAACTTTGTAGCTGACTGAAGCTTATTTTAGCCACACAAATGCAAATTTAATTAAGCAGAGGAACAGACTGCATCTAGAAGGGCACAGTGACAAAAACTCTCCTTTCCCAACCAAATATCAATGACCATTCTTGCTCATTATTCTTCCATCAATGAAGTCAAGCAATTCAATAAAAAAAGATCGACTAATTTTTAATAGGTTTATTATTACCTATATTATAATTATATTATTATATTATTATTATTACCTATATTATTTATAATATTTTTATCAATATTATGATTATTGTGCTTTGCCTTTGCTTTGGGTAGTACAAGTTGACCCCCAAGTCTTAACCTGAGACTTCAAGAGACAAGTTCATTTGAAATCAGAAAATGCAAACAGATAAGACATCATGCAATTTGAGAGAGAAAAGAAAATGTAACTCTATGCCCATAGTATGAAGAAAAATCTACACAAAATCCAATGATTTTCTGAAATTCATATATTTTAGGGACTCCAGGAATTTGTGCTATATATAATTGTTTGAAGTAAATTTTGATACCTTTTCCAAAAGACCAAATAATATTTATTATTATTATTATTATCATCATCATCATTCGATTTCTGCTATGGACACACTACCTACAAGTCTCTTGGAAAGACCTAAGGCAGGTCGTGGTGTGTTATTATGGCCATTTCATGTTAATTTTTTTTTTTTTTTTTTTATCTCGATGAAGTTGCTAGCGTTACATAGACAAAGTTCTCCTTAGTGTGTGTGCTGTACTTAATAAGACAATTTTCTGTATGTCTCTTAAGCTGGGGTTTCCAGGGATTCTTTCAATGTGTTGTTTTGTTCCATTTTTATAATTCAAGTGCACCTATTACCACTGGTATTATTCTTGTTTTCAATTTCCACATTTTTCTATTTCAATTTCCAGGTCTTTGTATTTTGATAGTTTTTCAAATTCCTGTTTTGCTATATTTACAATCCGCTGGACAACCACCATATCAATTAGTAGGCAAGTTTTTTTTTTTCTTTCTGGTTTTTGACAATAATGTCCG